CTATGCCGAGCCCGGTTTTCAGTTTTTCTGTGCTGAATTAATTACGGGCAGGGGGTTGATGAATTACGACCGTAATTAGTCCCCCCATGCCCGTAATTTTACTGCCGAGGGCCCTTTTTCTCCAATTTTTGAGCTGCAAATTCGAACATCCAAACCCAAACGTGCCCCGGTTCAAAAAATACACCACCATAGACCAAAAGAGACCATCCGGGGCGTGAGAAACATTCCAGAAAGACTCCAGACAGACTGAATGACTCGAAAACGACAAAAATTAAAAAGGAAATAGGATAGAAATGCAAACCGTGGTGGGGTTGCCACAAACGCTTCTTTACCGTCGTTTAGCTGGACGCCAGTAGAGGAACTAAGGGTCCTCGAGCTTGATCAGCAGCTCTGCGCGCTCGACAGCACCTCCCAAGTACAACTTTAGGAGGTGGCCATTCACCTTGAATGGCTCGGTTTGAGCATTGCTGATCTCCACCGCACCGTGCGGGAAAACTCGGGTCACCGTGAAGGGACCCGACCACCTCGAACGGAGCTTGCCCGGAAAGAGTTTCAGGCGTGCATTGAAGAGTAGAACATGATCACCTACCTGAAACTCCTTCGGGCCCCTCAACCTAGCGTCGTGGAGACGCTTGGTGCGCTCTTTGTAGAGCAGGGTGTTCTTGTAGGCGTGGTAACGCCACTCCTCCAACTCCAGCAGCTGCAACTTACGTTCTGTACCTGCAACACTCAAATCCATGTTTAGCAGCTTAATGGCCCAGAAGGCCTTGTGCTCTAGCTCTACCGGCAAATGGCACGCCTTCCCATAGACAAGCCTATTGGGAGAAGTGCCAATCGGGTTCTTATAGGCAGTCCTATACGCCCAGAGAGCATCATCAAACTTGGTGGACCAATCCTTGCGGGACTGATCCACCGTCTTTTCAATTATCCATTTTAATTCCCGGTTCGTCAGCTCGGCCTGCCCATTTGACTGGGGATGGTAGGCCACCGACACCTGATGCTTAACGCCATAGCAAGAGAGGAGTTTAGTGAATTGCCCCTGAAAATGGGTTCCTCTATCACTAATAATGGCGCGAGGTGTCCCGAACCGGGAGAACAGCTGCTTCAGAAATGAGCAGACCCGTCTTGCATCATTGGTGGGCATGGCTTGAGCTTCTGCCCACCTCGAAACGTAGTCCACTGCAACCAATATGTACAGATTGCCAAAAGATGGAGGGAATGGGCCCATGAAATCGATACCCCAAACATCAAATTTTTTACAAATAACAGAGATATGTTGGGGCATCTCATCCCGGGCAGAAATGTTACCTGACCTTTGGCAGCGGTCGCACTGTCGTGCGAAGGTGTCGGCATCCTTGAAGAGCGAGGGCCAATAGAAGCTCGACTGTAGCACCTTCCGCGCCGTGCGGTTTCCTCCATGATGAACTCCAGTGGGTACCTCGTGACATTGAGACAAGATGTCTCCCATCTCATGCTCGGTCAACGGCAGGGCAATCTTCGAGAAATCTTTGATGAAGCGCCGGTAAAAGCCTGCATGACCCAGAAAGCTGCGAATCCCCTTCACAGAAACGGGAGGAGGTAGCTGACTGATCGTCTCAATCTTCGCGCGATCTACCTCAATCCCCTTCTTGGAGATCTTGTGCCCGAGCACGATACCCTCACGAACCATGAAATGGCACTTCTCCCAGCTGAGTGCCAGATTAGTCTCCTCGCACCTCTTCAGAACGAGTTCCAGGTTATGGAGACAGTGAGTGAAGGAGTCTCCATATACCGAGAAATCATCCATGAAGACTTCCATGATCTCTCCAACCAGTCGGTCGAAGATCGCCAGCATGCATCTCTGGAAGGTCGCCGGTGCATTACACAGCCCAAATGGAATCCTCCGGTAAGCAAAAGTGCCGAAGGGGCAAGTGAATGTGGTCTTCGCCTGATCCTCCGGTGCAATAGGAATCTGGAAGTAACCAGATATGCCATCCAGGAAGCAATAGAACTCATGGCCAGCCAACCTCTCCAGCATCTGATCAGTGAAGGGAAGGGGAAAATGATCTTTCCTGGTGGCGTCGTTCAGGCGCCGGTAATCGATGCAGACTCTCCAGCCGGTCACGGTCCGCATCGGGATCAACTCCTTCTTCTCATTCGGGACCACAGTCATCCCGCCTTTCTTCGGGACCACCTGAGTGGGGCTGACCCACTTGCTATCAGATATAGCAAAGATGATCCCTGCATCCATGAGCTTCACAATCTCTGCCCGGACCACTGCCTCCAAGTTAGGAGACAATCTCCTCTGTGGCTGCCTGACTGGCTTAACCTCATCCTCCATCAAGATTCTGTGAGAGCAGAAGGATGGGCTAATGCCTCTGATGTCGGTGATCTTCCATGCCATGGCCCGGGCATACTTCTGCAGCAGAGCCACCAGCCTGCTCTTCTGCTCGGAGGTCAGATCCGAGCTAATAATAACCGGGAGCTTATTCCCTTCCCGGAGAAATGCATACTCCAGATGAGATGGGAGGGGTTTAAGCTCCAACTCTGGTGGCTCCTCCAATGATGTAGCGAGCCGGGGCGAGATGGGGATCAGCTTGAATGGTATCTCTCGCCCCTCGCTCGCAGCCTCGTCCAGCTCCGCAAGCTGCTCCTCCAGCTGCATATCCTATGATGCCTGTTCCCCTAGCAAAAGACAACGCTCAAGGAAATCATCAGTACTCGCACTCGTGATGGCGAGTGCGGTCTCAAAATCAGCAACAACATCACAGTAATCAAGATCATCATGGAGATGGGGGTGTTTCATATTATCAGAAACAGAGAAGGTGATTTGTTCACCCCCAGCTCTTAAAATCAGTTTTCCATCATTAACATCAATCAGCGCCTTGGCGGTGGCGAGAAAAGGTCTACCCAGTATCAATGGCACATCAACATCCTCATTTATGTCCAAAATCACAAAATCAACAGGATATGAAAATGGCCCTACTGCGACTATCAAGTCCTCTGCTATACCCCTAGGATGCACAATAGATCTATCAGCAAGCTGGATGCTCATCCTAGTATTACTGGGTTCACCTAGGTCTAGCTTCTTAAACAGTGAATATGGCATGACATTAAGTGCTAGCGCCTAAATCCGCCAAGGACTTCCCTACATGCAAACTACCAATCATGCAAGGGATAGTGAAACTCCCTGGGTCTTTTCGCTTCTCTGGTAGTTTGTTCTGCTGGATGGCAGAACACTCCCCGTTCAGCATCACCGTTGACAGCTCCCCAAGCTTCCTCTTGTTGGTGAGGAGATCCTTCATGAACTTGGCATACTTGGGCATCTTCGATAATGCCTCCACGAAGGGCATGCTAATATTCACCTGCTTCAGCATTGCCATGAATTTGGCAAACTCAGTCTCCAGTCGGTCCTTGTGCAACCGAGTAGGAAAGGGAAGCTGTGGTACATACTCCTTCACCACTGGTTGCGGTTTAGGAGCAGGCACCTCAACCTCCTTCTCCATTTCTTCCTGATTAGCTGGAAGTGCTGAAGCAGGGGTCTCTCTCTCCTCTGCCCGAACAGGTGGATCGGCAGTCACCTTGCCACTCCAGGTTGTGATGGCACTCAAGTTTTCATCCGGGTCCTGCGGGTGAGGGATGGTCTGACCAGGCAAGGTACCTGGAGTCCTCCGAGCAACAGCCTGGGCAACACCACCAAGCTGGGTCTGTATATCTCGCAGCACAGCCTGTGTGTTTCTCTGACCAGCTTCTAGCTCCAAGAACTTGCCTGGAGCTTTCTCCATGAATTTCTCAATGTTATTGAATTTATTTGCACTGGAGGTGGCCAGAGAACTCACCAGATCTCTCAGTTCCGCCATCGGGTCACTCTGTACTGGGGCTGCAGGTGCTGCCCCTGCCTGCGGAAATGGTCGTGCATGCGACTGAGGTGGAACTGGCCCCTGTCTGGGCGGGTAGAGTGGCTGCTGTGGCTGCTGAAATTGCCCCTATCTGGGCTGGTATGGAGGCCTCTGAAAACCGGGTGGTCCCTGGGGAGCTGGTGGTTTGGGATTTGGCCCAGCCCAAGAAAAGTTAGGATGCTGGCGCCACCCCTCGTTATAGGTGTTGCTGTAGGGGTCAAAGCGCCTGGCATTCCTGATGAAGTCCACCTGCTCCTGGGGAGTAGACAACTCCCTCATTGCCTGACAGTCCTCCACGGTGTGATGAGAGCTCTCACACCACTGGCAGTGCATCGCCTGCGGCTGTCCTGTACCTGCAATCAAACCAGAACGATCGATAGCTGAAACCAGCTTCGATACCACCTGCACCAAATCAGATGACTGGGTGCCCACAGCATGCACACCCCGTCCTGGTGCTCGTCTCGATCTCCTGGCAGTGCCCCAGTCGTACCCGTTCTCCGCCATCTCCTCAAAGAGTTGATTCAGCTGTGGCGGGGTTTTAGTCAGCATGTTCCCGCCACAAACCGAATCAATCAGCTGCTTGTCCTCCGGGAAGAGAGCGTGATAGAAGGTGCCCACCTTGAATGCATCATTGAAACCATGATTGGGACACCTGAGAAAAAGACTGGTGTATCTCTCCCAAGCATCCCTAATGGTCTCATCCTCATCCTGAGCAATATGTGTAATTTGCTTCTGCAGGTCAGCTGTCTTGGATGGAGGATGGTAGCGGGTGAGGAACTTGTCCGCCAGGTTGGCGAACGTGGTGATGGAGCCCGGAGGTCGAGTGTCTAGCCACTCCTTGGCTTGCCCCTCCAGAGTAAATGGGAAGTACCTCAGCTGGATGGCATCTGCTGGTACCCCATTGATCTTGATTCCATCGATGAGCTTGTGGAATCGCCTGAGATGTGATCGAGGGCACTCTCCCTCCTTACCACGGAACACCACTGAACCGCGCAGCATAGTGATTACTGAGGTGCTCACCTCAAAGTTGTTGGCTGGGACATGAGGGTGTTGAATGGGTGACCTCATGTCTGCAGCCCTAGCGGTCCAGTAGGATCCCATGGTCTGCTCCTCGGGGATCACAGCACGGTTCTCTGGATCACCCATCTCTTCTTCCTCTTCTTCTAACTGCAGCTGTGTTAGCGCCTCCTCCGCAGCCAGTCGCGCCTTTAGAGCCCGCTTGAAGTTCCTGCAAGTTCGTTCAAGCTCCTGGTCTAATGGTAGTAGTTCTCCCGACTGGCTACGGGTCATGCACTACCTGCACACAATCAGCAGAAGCAACCCGTGAAGGCACACAGGTGGAAGAGATAAAATGCAGTAAATAAAAAGCTAGAGTAACAAATTCTCACGTTTCCCCAATAACCTAGAAAGTCCCCGGCAACGGCGCCAAAAACTTGACACACCAAAACACAACACCAAACTGCGACCAAGTGTAATCGCAGTCCGGGAATGCAGTAACCGGCAAGTTATATTATCAACCCGAGGTCTAGATCTACTGCTTACTCCGTGATTCTCTATTATCTAGCAAACTAATTCGAGTGATTGTTGTTTAAAAGCAAAAGCAGTAAGAAAGCAGTAAACTGTTCGGTTTTCTAAAGCAGGTAAGAGTCACTCGGGAATGAGTCCCCCTAGCCCCTTAGTTAGGTTGAATTTTAATTCCCCTGGGTTGATTTACTATTGATTAGACTGCGGAAGATCCGACAGTAGCTTGGAATCTCTTAAGCTGACCAAGCCCTCTCAGTCTAACTACCCGGCAGACGACTAGTCTTCACCGGGATAGAAAGCTGAAGCAATAAGCACAGAACTCCACTACTGGAATTGAATTCCAGTACAAAGCAGTAAACTGGCTAACTCTCGTATAGCCAATCTCCTACTATCGAATGAAGAGGCTCTAACAACCTAATCAGATTCTATCTATCTCAGGTTGCAGCAGAAATTGAGAAAAGCTGATCAGACTCCAATCAATTCAATAAACATGCATCATTCGATTAAAATCAGACAGTAATATCATCCCAAGTCATTACAATCAAATCCCTAACACAAGGAACTAGGGTTCTTCATACCCAAGTGAGAGAAAGGTTCTACTCCATAGAGAGAGAAAAGAAAACAGAAATCAGAGTAGTCATACTCATAAAGATGAGGAAAATCTGCTATGGGATGTCAATCTTCACTCCTAGGGACGCAATCTGGGCTTCAATGATGAGAAATCCACTCCAAAATAGCTCCTAGGGTTTGTTCTTTGCTCTTTCTCTCTCTAAAACTCTGTTTTTGCTCCAGAAAATCGAATCCCCCTTCCTTGGCTCGAATCTGCCTCCAAAAACCCGACTCTGGGCGAATTACGGGCAGAATTACGGCCGTAATCACGTCCTGCCCGTAATTCGCACCAAAACGCACGTTTCAATTAAGCTGAAGGAGGAGGAGATACGCCCGTAATTTCCCAATTACCGCCAGTAATTTGGGAATTACGGTCGTAATTCTTGGAGGTCCTGCCCGTAATTTTAGCACCGAGGGGAAATTCTGGGGAAAAGGATCGGCAATTAATTTACGGGCATGCCCTGGCCAATTACGGTCGTAATTTGGCAGGGGCTGCCCGTAATTCTGTCTGTGATTCGCCATCTGACCTCCAAATGACCCGAAACTTGCGCCTATGCACCTCTTTACTTGCTAGGACCTGAAATACGACAAAACAACACAACCTAGCGTAAAATAGGCCAAGGAACAATCAATTCGAGCCAAAATGGACAGGAAACCCGAGTGAAAACACGTGCAAATACGATGCTATCAGAAGAGATCCACAAAACATGGCTCGCCGGAGTTTCGTCGCCGGCGACTTCACCGGAGCCAAACTGACCCAAAACTTTGGGGAATGAAGCCCCAAGTACCAGGAACGCGGTGGTGGTCGCGGTTTCTCGATCGGAGGTCCGAGGAGGGAGATCGGGCCGGAGGAACACCGAAGGGTCGCGGTTTTCCGGCGACCCAAACCACCACGAAACTCAACCCCACTGGTATAGACTTGTGGGCGCCGACGAGAGGAGCACGGGGGTGGTCTCGGAATTTAATTTGGACCTCCGGTGAGTGAGATATGGCCGGAAAACGACCGGAGAAGAGAGTGGTTCGAGTTTCCGGTGAGAGGAGAGAGATTTTGGTCTAAAAAAAATGGAGGAGAGAGAGGGGGGAACGCGGCCGAGCAGTTTTTAAACTGCTATCGGGGGTAATTACGGGCAGGATTACGGCCGTAATTACCCCCGGCCTTGCCCGTAATTTTATGGCCGAGAGTAAATTGCGCCCTCTGATCGAATTACGGGCAGGGGTGGTTAAAATTACGACCGTAATTCTTACCCCCTTGCCCGTAATTTCTATGCCGAGCCCGGTTTTCAGTTTTTCTGTGCTGAATTAATTAAGGGTAGGGGGTTGATGAATTACGACCGTAATTAGTCCCCCCATGCCCGTAATTTTACTGCCGAGGGCCCTTTTTCTCCAATTTTTGAGCTGCAAATTCGAACATCCAAACCCAAACGTGCCCCGGTTCAAAAAATACACCACCATAGACCAAAAGAGACCATCCGGGGCGTGAGAAACATTCCAGAAAGACTCCAGACAGACTGAATGACTCGAAAACGACAAAAATTAAAAAGGAAATAGGATAGAAATGCAAACCGTGGTGGGGTTGCCACAAACGCTTCTTTACCGTCGTTTAGCTGGACGCCAGTAGAGGAACTAAGGGTCCTCGAGCTTGATCAGCAGCTCTGCGCGCTCGACAGCACCTCCCAAGTACAACTTTAGGAGGTGGCCATTCACCTTGAATGGCTCGGTTTGAGCATTGCTGATCTCCACCGCACCGTGCGGGAAAACTCGGGTCACCGTGAAGGGACCCGACCACCTCGAACGGAGCTTGCCCGGAAAGAGTTTCAGGCGTGCATTGAAGAGTAGAACATGATCACCTACCTGAAACTCCTTCGGGCCCCTCAACCTAGCGTCGTGGAGACGCTTGGTGCGCTCTTTGTAGAGCAGGGTGTTCTTGTAGGCGTGGTAACGCCACTCCTCCAACTCCAGCAGCTGCAACTTACGTTCTGTACCTGCAACACTCAAATCCATGTTTAGCAGCTTAATGGCCCAGAAGGCCTTGTGCTCTAGCTCTACCGGCAAATGGCACGCCTTCCCATAGACAAGCCTATTGGGAGAAGTGCCAATCGGGTTCTTATAGGCAGTCCTATACGCCCAGAGAGCATCATCAAACTTGGTGGACCAATCCTTGCGGGACTGATCCACCGTCTTTTCAATTATCCGTTTTAATTCCCGGTTCGTCAGCTCGGCCTGCCCATTTGACTGGGGATGGTAGGCCACCGACACCTGATGCTTAACGCCATAGCAAGAGAGGAGTTTAGTGAATTGCCCCTGAAAATGGGTTCCTCTATCACTAATAATGGCGCGAGGTGTCCCGAACCGGGAGAACAGCTGCTTCAGAAATGAGCAGACCCGTCTTGCATCATTGGTGGGCATGGCTTGAGCTTCTGCCCACCTCGAAACGTAGTCCACTGCAACCAATATGTACAGATTGCCAAAAGATGGAGGGAATGGGCCCATGAAATCGATACCCCAAACATCAAATTTTTTACAAATAACAGAGATATGTTGGGGCATCTCATCCCGGGCAGAAATGTTACCTGACCTTTGGCAGCGGTCGCACTGTCGTGCGAAGGTGTCGGCATCCTTGAAGAGCGAGGGCCAATAGAAGCTCGACTGTAGCACCTTCCGCGCCGTGCGGTTTCCTCCATGATGAACTCCAGTGGGTACCTCGTGACATTGAGACAAGATGTCTCCCATCTCATGCTCGGTCAACGGCAGGGCAATCTTCGAGAAATCTTTGATGAAGCGCCGGTAAAAGCCTGCATGACCCAGAAAGCTGCGAATCCCCTTCACAGAAACGGGAGGAGGTAGCTGACTGATCGTCTCAATCTTCGCGCGATCTACCTCAATCCCCTTCTTGGAGATCTTGTGCCCGAGCACGATACCCTCACGAACCATGAAATGGCACTTCTCCCAGCTGAGTGCCAGATTAGTCTCCTCGCACCTCTTCAGAACGAGTTCCAGGTTATGGAGACAGTGAGTGAAGGAGTCTCCATATACCGAGAAATCATCCATGAAGACTTCCATGATCTCTCCAACCAGTCGGTCGAAGATCGCCAGCATGCATCTCTGGAAGGTCGCCGGTGCATTACACAGCCCAAATGGAATCCTCCGGTAAGCAAAAGTGCCGAAGGGGCAAGTGAATGTGGTCTTCGCCTGATCCTCCGGTGCAATAGGAATCTGGAAGTAACCAGACATGCCATCCAGGAAGCAATAGAACTCATGGCCAGCCAACCTCTCCAGCATCTGATCAGTGAAGGGAAGGGGAAAATGATCTTTCCTGGTGGCGTCGTTCAGGCGCCGGTAATCGATACAGACTCTCCAGCCGGTCACGGTCCGCATCGGGATCAACTCCTTCTTCTCATTCGGGACCACAGTCATCCCGCCTTTCTTCGGGACCACCTGAATGGGGCTGACCCACTTGCTATCAGATATAGCAAAGATGATCCCTGCATCCATGAGCTTCACAATCTCTGCCCGGACCACTGCCTCCAAGTTAGGAGACAATCTCCTCTGTGGCTGCCTGAGTGGCTTAACCTCATCCTCCATCAAGATTCTGTGAGAGCAGAAGGATGGGCTAATGCCTCTGATGTCGGTGATCTTCCATGCCATGGCCCGGGCATACTTCTGCAGCAGAGCCACCAGCCTGCTCTTCTGCTCGGGGGTCAGATCCGAGCTAATAATAACCGGGAGCTTATTCCCCTCCCGGAGAAATGCATACTCCAGATGAGATGGGAGGGGTTTAAGCTCCAACTCTGGTGGCTCCTCCAATGATGTAGCGAGCCGGGGCGAGATGGGGATCAGTTTGAATGGTATCTCTCGCCCCTCGCTCGCAGCCTCGTCCAGCTCCGCAAGCTGCTCCTCCAGCTGCATATCCTATGATGCCTGTTCCCCTAGCAAAAGACAACGCTCAAGGAAATCATCAGTACCCGCACTCGTGATGGCGAGTGCGGTCTCAAAATCAGCAACAACATCACAGTAATCAAGATCATCATGGAGCTGGGGGTGTTTCATATTATCAGAAATAGAGAAGGTGATTTGTTCACCCCCAGCTCTTAAAATCAGTTTTCCATCATTAACATCAATCAGCGCCTTGGCGGTGGCGAGAAAAGGTCTACCCAGTATCAATGGCACATCAACATCCTCATTTATGTCCAAAATCACAAAATCAACAGGATATGAAAATGGCCCTACTGCGACTATCAAGTCCTCTGCTATACCCCTAGGATGCACAATAGATCTATCAGCAAGCTGGATGCTCATCCTAGTATTACTGGGTTCACCTAGGTCTAGCTTCTTAAACAGTGAATATGGCATGACATTAAGTACTAGCGCCTAAATCCGCCAAGGACTTCCCTACATGCAAACTACCAATCATGCAAGGGATAGTGAAACTCCCTGGGTCTTTTCGCTTCTCTGGTAGTTTGTTCTGCAGGATGGCAGAACACTCCTCGTTCAGCATCACCGTTGACAGCTCCCCAAGCTTCCTCTTGTTGGTGAGGAGATCCTTCATGAACTTGGCATACTTGGGCATCTTCGATAATGCCTCCACGAAGGGCATGCTAATATTCACCTGCTTCAGCATTGCCATGAATTTGGCGAACTCAGTCTCCAGTCGGTCCTTGTGCAACCGAGTAGGAAAGGGAAGCTGTGGTACATACTCCTTCACCACTGGTTGCGGTTTAGGAGCAGGCACCTCAACCTCCTTCTCCATTTCTTCCTGATTAGCTGGAAGTGCTGAAGAAGGGGTCTCTCTCTCCTCTGCCCGAACAGGTGGATCGGCAGTCACCTTGCCACTCCTGGTTGTGATGGCACTCAAGTTTTCATCCGGGTCCTGCGGGTGAGGGATGGTCTGACCAGGCAAGGTACCTGGAGTCCTCCGAGCAACAGCCTGGGCAACACCACCAAGCTGGGTCTGTATATCTCGCAGCACAGCCTGTGTGTTTCTCTGACCAGCTTCTAGCTCCAAGAACTTGCCTGGAGCTTTCTCCATGAATTGCTCAATGTTATTGAATTTATTTGCACTGGAGGTGGCCAGAGAACTCACCAGATCTCTCAGTTCCTCCATCGGGTCACTCTATACTGGGGCTGCAGGTGCTGCCCCTGCCTGCGGAAATGGTCGTGCCTGCGACTGAGGTGGAACTGGCCCCTGTCTGGGCGGGTAGAGTGGCTGCTGTGGCTGCTGAAATTGCCCCTATCTGGGCTGGTATGGAGGCCTCTGAAAACCGGGTGGTCCCTGGGGAGCTGGTGGTTTGGGATTTGGCCCAGCCCAAGAAAAGTTAGGATGCTGGCGCCACCCCTCGTTATAGGTGTTGCTGTAGGGGTCAAAGCGCCTGGCATTCCCGATGAAGTCCACCTGCTCCTGGGGAGTAGACGACTCCCTCATCGCCTGACAGTCCTCCACGGTGTGATGAGAGCTCTCACACCACTGGCAGTGCATCGCCTGCGGCTGTCCTGTACCTGCAATCAAACCAGAACGATCGATAGCTGAAACCAGCTTCGATACCACCTGCACCAAATCAGATGACTGGGTGCCCACAGCATGCACACCCCGTCCTGGTGCTCGTCTCGATCTCCTGGCAGTGCCCCAGTCGTACCCGTTCTCCGCCATCTCCTCAAAGAGTTGATTCAGCTGTGGCGGGGTTTTAGTCAGCATGTTCCCGCCACAAACCGAATCAATCAGCTGCTTGTCCTCCGGGAAGAGAGCGTGATAGAAGGTGCCCACCTTGAATGCATCATTGAAACCATGATTGGGACACCTGAGAAAAAGACTGGTGTATCTCTCCCAAGCATCCCTAATGGTCTCATCCTCATCCTGAGCAATATGTGTAATTTGCTTCTGCAGGTCAGCTGTCTTGGATGGAGGATGGTAGCGGGTGAGGAACTTGTCCGCCAGGTTGGCGAACGTGGTGATGGAGCCCGGAGGTCGAGTGTCTAGCCACTCCTTGGCTTGCCCCTCCAGAGTAAATGGGAAGTACCTCAGCTGGATGGCATCTGCTGGTACCCCATTGATCTTGATTCCATCGATGAGCTTGTGGAATCGCCTGAGATGTGATCGAGGGCACTCTCCCTCCTTACCACGGAACACCACTGAACCGCGCAGCATAGTGATTACTGAGGTGCTCACCTCAAAGTTGTTGGCTGGGACATGAGGGTGTTGAATGGGTGACCTCATGTCTGCAGCCCTAGCGGTCCAGTAGGATCCCATGGTCTGCTCCTCGGGGATCACAGCACGGTTCTCTGGATCACCCATCTCTTCTTCCTCTTCTTCTAACTGCAGCTGTGTTAGCGCCTCCTCCGCAGCCAGTCGCGCCTTTAGAGCCCGCTTGAAGTTCCTGCAAGTTCGTTCAAGCTCCTGGTCTAATGGTAGTAGTTCTCCCGACTGGCTACGGGTCATGCACTACCTGCACACAATCAGCAGAAGCAACCCGTGAAGGCACACAGGTGGAAGAGATAAAATGCAGTAAATAAAAAGCTAGAGTAACAAATTCTCACGTTTCCCCAATAACCTAGAAAGTCCCCGGCAACGGCGCCAAAAACTTGACACACCAAAACACAACACCAAACTGCGACCAAGTGTAATCGCAGTCCGGGAATGCAGTAACCGGCAAGTTATATTATCAACCCGAGGTCTAGATCTACTGCTTACTCCGTGATTCTCTATTATCTAGCAAACTAATTCGAGTGATTGTTGTTTAAAAGCAAAAGCAGTAAGAAAGCAGTAAACTGTTCGGTTTTCTAAAGCAGGTAAGAGTCACTCGGGAATGAGTCCCCCTAGCCCCTTAGTTAGGTTGAATTTTAATTCCCCTGGGTTGATTTACTATTGATTAGACTGCGGAAGATCCGACAGTAGCTTGGAATCTCTTAAGCTGACCAAGCCCTCTCAGTCTAACTACCCGGCAGACGACTAGTCTTCACCGGGATAGAAAGCTGAAGCAATAAGCACAGAACTCCACTACTGGAATTGAATTCCAGTACAAAGCAGTAAACTGGCTAACTCTCGTATAGCCAATCTCCTACTATCGAATGAAGAGGCTCTAACAACCTAATCAGATTCTATCTATCTTAGGTTGCAGCAGAAATTGAGAAAAGCTGATCAGACTCCAATCAATTCAATAAACATGCATCATTCGATTAAAATCAGACAGTAATATCATCCCAAGTCATTACAATCAAATCCCTAACACAAGGAACTAGAGTTCTTCATACCCAAGTGAGAGAAAGGTTCTACTCCATAGAGAGAGAAAAGAAAACAGAAATCAGAGTAGTCATACTCATAAAGATGAGGAAAATCTGCTATGGGATGTCAATCTTCACTCCTAGGGACGCAATCTGGGCTTCAATGATGAGAAATCCACTCCAAAATAGCTCCTAGGGTTTGTTCTTCGCTCTTTCTCTCTCTAAAACTATGTTTTTGCTCCAGAAAATCGAATCCCCCTTCCTTGGCTCGAATCTGCCTCCAAAAACCCGACTCTGGGCGAATTACGGGCAGAATTACGGCCGTAATCACGTCCTGCCCGTAATTCGCACCAAAACGCACGTTTCAATTAAGCTGAAGGAGGAGGAGATACGCCCGTAATTTCCCAATTACCGCCAGTAATTTGGGAATTACGGTCGTAATTCTTGGAGGTCCTGCCCGTAATTTTAGCACCGAGGGGAAATTCTGGGGAAAAGGCTCGGCAATTAATTTACGGGCATGCCCTGGCCAATCACGGTCGTAATTTGGCAGGGGCTGCCCGTAATTCTGTCTGTGATTCGCCATCTGACCTCCAAATGACCCGAAACTTGCGCCTATGCACCTCTTTACTTGCTAGGACCTGAAATACGACAAAACAACACAACCTAGCGTAAAATAGGCCAAGGAACAATCAATTCGAGCCAAAATGGACAGGAAACCCGAGTGAAAACACGTGCAAATACGATGCTATCAGAAGAGATCCACAAAACATGGCTCAAGATAGGGTGAGTAACAATGAGTAACAAAATCTGGACCCTTCTTTTAAGTGACTGCATATCTAAGGGTGGAGAATTAAAGGAATTTATTTTCCCTAGTTTTCTTAATTGGATCATATCTTCTTTATTCTAACTCGGATTTCAATTTTTTTTTTTTGCACAGATGGAATGAGTTCGTTGTGCTCTACAAAATGATATCCATTTTCAATATTTTTTGAGAAAAAAACTTGCATCCCTCTCGTTACCAACTCCATACCATATGGTATCTCCTTCGTTGTTTAGTCATTTTCGAAAATATTTGCACAAAAGGAACGATTTAATCACGATCTATTGGATTTCAAAATTTTATGGGGAAAAAATTTCAAACCTCTCCTTACCAACTCCATACCATACTATACCACCCTGGTATGAGGTGGTATTTTTCATACCATATGGTATGCTGCTATTTAATACCATACGGTATTGACTGGTACTAAATAAAAGCATATGGTATTGACTGGTATTTTTCATACCATATGGTATGCTGGTATTGACTGGTTCATACCATATTGACTGGTATTTTTTAAGACGAGTGAGAAATCGTCCGTTAAAGATTAAGGGAAAGAAAATTAATGATTTTTCCAGGAGAGAGAAGGAGGCGCTGATGTGGCAGATTCTTATTGGGTTATGCATAGGGTTACTCACCGGCTCCCACAAAATAGAACACTTAAAAACAAAGAGAGTTTAGTTCGCTGTGTCTTTATGGTGTCTATCCACACACACTCACTGATCTGACGAAAAAGTTGAAAGCGAGGAGACAAAAGAAAAAAGAATCCAACAAAGGGAAGAGAGGAGCAATGGCGACGACTGTTAGCAATGCATTGGTGGCGATAATCAACACCATCCTATTAGTGATAGGGCTTTTAGCCGTCGGCAGCGGTTTGTACCTAATGGTCGCCGGCGAGTCGACGACGCAGTGCATCCAGAAGCCGCTCCTGATGACCGGCGCGACGCTGGTTGGCGTGGCGGAACAACTGCTTCCTCTTTCTCTACTTGATTGTCACGTTCGCCGCCATCGTCCTGCTTGCCCTCTTCACCATATTCCTCATCTTGGTCACCAACCAGAGCATCGCCCGGACCGTCACTAAATTGAAGATTTACAATCTCGACGGCTATTACGTCAACGACCACTACTGGGGCAACATCAAGAGCTGCTTGATCGACGCCACGCCAGGATCTGTTACGTTACGGCGTCGTCCCCAAAGATCATCCCCTCGTAATTGATTTCCTCAACAACCGCTTCTCCTCTACTCGCGTACGTACCCTATCCATACATACTCGCGTATGGATGGAGCAACAAGCAGAACGAGTTGTGCTACGACTGCGAGTTGGTTCAGTAATAGGAACATGACATGGTGGAATTGTGATTCTTTTACACCAAGTGAAAATAGTCAAAATACTATATTGCATTTGCAGGTGGGGAATTTGTATAAGAAATTCATAGAAAAAGAAGGGGTTAATTGCATGGTTGGTCACTAAGATTACAAAAACGTTCAAGTTTGGTCACTCGAAATATTTAAATCCATTGGTGGTACTTCAGTTTACTGAAATCGTTCATGTTTGGTCACTCTCTGTCCAATTCCGTTAACTTTTGCTTACGTGGCGGTCAACTCTAAAAGTTGACCGTTAAATGTGTGACATGGTAATTAAAAAATTATTAAAAAATAAAATTTAATCTTTGTATTATTTCCACCTCATTTTCACAAATATTAAAAACTAAAAAATAAAACCCCCTAATTTTTTATCCCCTCCAACAAACCTCAGACCTTATTCCATCAACGTTCGCAACGAGGATATCCTCCACCGGATAGAAATTCCTCAACGTGTCCAACAGAAACCCCCTGTGCACGAACAGTGGCGCGCGGATCTCCACCTCGACCGGCACGCGCCACCGCCCCCACACCAGCTAGGAGAAGGTTTCCAGCCCCCGCATGGCTCCCCACACGGTGGCAGCGGTGAGATTTACGGTTGCGGAATTGGGGATGGAGAGGGTTGTAGGACTCGTCGACGCCGTAGACGAGCGCAGCAGCGAGGTCAGCGACAGAGATGGAGAGGGATTGGAGGGGAGAGGGTGATGTGGAGAAGTTGGTGGTGGTGGTGTCGGATATGGCGCGGTGGCGCTCGGAGGAGATGAGGCGGTGGTAGCGGGCGACGACGGCGGAGAGGTAGTGGTTGGATGATGATGAGGGGGAATCGAATTGGAAGGTTCGGGAGAGTGTGGCGATCGTGCGCAGCGAGGACCAGGGTATGAAGGTGCAGGGTTTGGGCCAAACGTTGCTCGACAAGGCTGTGGCTGAAGAATGGATGAGGAGGGTGAGTATCGTGGAGAAGAATAACAGGACGGTGGTGGAAAAAGGTATGGTGGCGGAATAGTGTGGTGAAGGGTTCTTCCTGCTACTACTGGTTCTCATTAGCTTCCTGGATGGGTGAAAATCAATAACAAAAACCCAAAATCAACACATCTCAATCGTAACCCAAAATCAAAGCCACCTAAACACATGTAGAAAGCAACACGAAGGAAAGATAAGAGACTGTACAGTGGGAAAACATTCTGTTTTTGTTTGTTTTTGATTAAATATTTCAAAGTCTGAATCTCTATTTGATGGAATAAGGTCTGAGGTTTGTTGGAGGGGATAAAAAATTAGGAGATTTTATTTTTCAATTTTTAATAGTTGTAAAAATGAGGTGAAAATTATACAAAGATTAAATTTTATTTTTAATAATTTTTTAATTGCCACGTCACACATTTAACGGTCAACTTTTAGAATTGACCGCCATGTAAGCAAAAGTTAACGGAATTAGACGAAGAGTGACCAAACATGAACGGTTTCAGTAAAATAAAGTACCACCAATGGATTTAAATATTTCGAGTGACCAAACTTGAACATATTTTGTAATATCAGTGACCAACCAATTAACCCGAAAAAGAAGCTAAGAATCAATGCAACACAGGTATCGACTCGCATGGATAATTGTTATGAATGAAATATGTAACCCAAGTTCATACACTGGTATACTAGCTAGTGTTTACTTCATTTGAGGAAAGTGCAACCGAGGAACAAGAAACAGTAGGCTACCAGCAACGTCATGAGTTCCAGTGTCCATGTAGGGTGTATTACAACTGTTGGAATGATGGGAACGAGTATGGAGCCGCATACCCACCCAGTTGCAAGAGCTCCTAGACTGTAATATGCAGAGACAGTTTAGTGAGTTAAACAACTTCATGTTTAAGATGAAAAGACGACTGATGATTCATATACTCACCCGATAACAAAAGCTCTGCCTAGGCTCTTTGTCTTCTCATTGAGGAAATATATGCACGCTGCCAAAGAGACAGCCACCTGCAACAACAAAAATAGCTCTGCTCCTTTAATACACAACATACAAGTGAGCACAATCTCCATCTGAATTCAGAAACAAAATCTCAACACCAAAGACAATCGATTCATCATCCA